AAATATTTATTTATTTTTATTTATTACATTTATTTTTATTGTGTGTGTGGCCAGCTCAGCCCACCAGGGGGCGGGTCTGGCTGGCATGTGGTGCTGGGGATCGAACCGCAGTCCCTGTGCTTTGCCAAGCTTGTTTCAAGTAGGTGCTTTAGACCACTGAGCCATCTCTCCAGCCCCCCATTCACTTTAACTGCAAAGAAAACAACACTTTTGTTTTGTACTGGGAATCAAACTCAGGACCTTCTGCTTGCCAAGCACGCACCTGTGCCACTGAGCTATCTCTCCAGCCCACAACGTTGTTAATTAATATGCTCATACCTCACCGGTTCCATAAGGCCATATAATCTGATTCATTTTCAAAGCGTTGGAGTAGTGATCTTGCAGACGCTGTGTAAGGAAGGCTCCCAGCCCTGATCCTGTGCCCCCAGCTATACTCATGATGATGAAAAAACCACTCAGCGAGTCACACTTCTCCACTTCCTTCTGGATTAGGTTCATGATAGACTCTTCATGCTTGGGTCCATGAACAGAGTAACTATGTAATGGTAAAAGAAATAAACACCTTTCAATGTAACCACAGCGATGGGATGCAGAGATGAAAGACTTAAGCTACAGAGATCTTTCAAAAGCTATGGAAGTGGGGCTGGGGAGTTAGCTTGGCAGTCTAAGTGCCTGCCTGGCAAGCACAAGGACATGGGTTTAATCCCTGGTACCACATGCCTTGCCAGTCCCAGAACCCCAGGTGATGGCCACCAAAACCAGGTGCGGTGGCGCATACACCTGTAATCCCAGTGCTAGAGAGGGTGAGACAGGAGGATCACTATGAGTCCGAGCTGCATAGCAAGACCCTGTACCAAATAAACAAATAAATAAATAAATGATTTTTTAAAAAAATAAAGCGATGGAGTGAACTAACACTCATGAAAGGTACAGGTAGTCTGGTTGACAAATTTTAAAATGTGCCAGTAAAATAAATTTAGCAGGTGCAAAGGAATGCTAGAAGAGCAGAGTGAATCTGCAGAATCCAGAAAGTTCTTTTTTTATAGGCTTTTTTTGTTTGTTTAATTTTTCTTTTTTTGGTACTGGGGACTGAACCCAGAGCCTTCACACTGAGCTATATCCCCAGCCCTTTTTATCTTTTACATTCTGAGGCAGGATCTCATTAAGGTGCTAAGTAGCCCAGGTTGGGCTAATACCTGAAATCTTCCTTGCTCAGCCTGGGATTACAGGCATGCATGGGATTACAGGCATGCATGACTATGCCTCGCGTATCAGCCATTTCTTTAGTTGGAGCTTTCAACTACCAGGTATTCTACTAATTTATGATAAAATATGATAGTTGATATTCATAACAATAGTCCTAAAGTAGTGGTTCCCAAACTGCTGCACATTAGAGTCCTTGCGGAGCTTTGAAAAATCCTGACATCTGGGCTTTACCCCAAAACAACTAAATCAGAATCTCTGGAAATGATCCCTAGACACCAGGATTTCCCAGAGAATCCCAGGAAATTCCAGTATACAGTAAGATATGGGAACAACTGCCTTGCTGTATTCTCAAGGACTGGGATATGGCCAGGTAAGTATTCTGTATTAATGTTAGTTTTCAGCACCACAGTGAAGAATGAAAAATTCTACGCAGAATATCTACGGTTTCGTCATTAGGCATTTTATGGCACAGAGATGGACTGAGATTTTTCTGGGTAGGTCAAATTCTAAAATTTTAAAATTTTAAAATTCTAAAATTTTAAGATTCTATGCTTTCTATCATATGCTGTCTAACTACATTATCTACTAATTGGCTATGCCAGTGTAATGGAACAGAAAGTCATAAGGAATTCCCCTTACCCGTAGGCCCAATTGTTTCCAGAACCCTGTTTCTGACAGAAGCACGCATGCGGACTGTACTTCCACCGCCCGGGCTGGGCAGCCTTTGACAGCACTTGATTGATAACTTTAGGTTCCATGTCAACAAGCACGGCCCGAGCAATTGGAACTGGAGAAGGAAAACACAATTTAAAAATGTCATATGTCGGGGCTGGTGAGATGGCTCGGTGGTCTAGAGCACCTACTTAGAACAAGCTTAGCAAAGCACAGGGACCGCGGTTCAATCCCCAGCACCACATGCCAGCCAGCCCCGCCCCCTGGTGGGCTGAGCTGGACAGACACACACACAAATAAAAAAATTAAAAAAAAATTAAAAAAAAAAAATGTCATATGTCATACTTAGGTAACTTGTAGCATCAACTGTTAGACCACTGAGCTCCATCCCCAGCCCTAGGTTCAGTAAAAACAACAAGAAAACAAATAGGAGTTGGGGAAATAGCTGTCATATTGGTTTGGAACACTGCAGTCACAGGGAAAGGCAGATGTTCGTGCAGGATTCTACTAAGCACTCCGGGATAACACGATCACTTGGTTCAGGTCTAAAGACATCTGGGGGAGCTGACTATGTGCCATGTACCATGCTGGAAATCGAGAGATAAAGGCAGGGCCGGGGAAGATAGCTCAGTGGCATAAGCACCTGCCTGGCAAGTGCAAGGTCTTAAGTTCCATCCCCAGTACCACAAAACAAATAAAAAAAGAGAGAGATAAAGGCAACCTTAAACTAGTCCTAGAAGGACCATGAGAGAAATCAAGCACGTTGACCCAGGTCTTAGTGTGGTGGCACACACTCCTAATCACAGCTGTTTGGATGGCTGAGGCAGGGGGATCACATGTTCAAGGCTAGCCTGGGCAACTTAGTGAGACTTCGTCTCAAAATTAAAAATAAAATGAGGCTGGGTATGTAGCTCAATGGTAGACTCCTCCTGGGTTCAGTCCAGTGCTGCCAAACAGATAAACAAATAACAAAAACAAAGCATCTCAACACTTAATCATAGTGCACTATACGGCCCACAATGAATCCATTCCAAAGTAGCAGCATATTTGGAGGTACAAAGATATGGAGACAGCATACAGCTCTGAACTGTCAGACCAAAAATAAAAATGTCGGAGCAGAGGGTGGAGAAGAGGGGGTAGAGGAGCACAAGGGTGGGAAACAGGCAAGGCTCAGACCTTGGAAATCCTCACAGGCAATGCTATTGTACTTGAACTTTACCTCTAAGGTAGTGATAAAGTACTAAACATTTTCAAGCAGTAGAGGAAAAGCTGGACATTTTTACAGAGGTGATAAGCTGGGTATGGTGGCACATGCCTATAATCCCAGCAGTCAGGAAGCTGAAGCAGAAGGATCTTTTGGAGTTCCAGACCAGCCTGGGCTACAAAGTGAACTCCAGCTCAGCTCATATTACATAGTGAGACCCTGTCTCAAAAAGACAAAAAAAAAAAAAACACGCAAACAGACAACAACAACAATAAAAACCCCCATAAATACGAAAGTGAGGACAGAGCAGAGACACATGAGATTCTAGACATGGAAACCGGTGAACATTTGGAAATGGTGCAGATGACAGAGTCAGATCTAAGGCAACGACAGCGAAGGCAGAGAAGGCAGAACCATCTTCAGAGATGTACAGGGTCAGAATGAGCAGGCCCTGAGTGCAAGGTTTAAAGAAAAGACAATGAGAAGCCAGGTGTGGTGGCACACCCCTGTAATCCCAGCACTTTCTAGGCTGAGGCAGGAGGATCACTGTGAGTTCAAGGCCAGCCTGCACTACATAGGGAGTCCCTGACACAAACAAACAAACAAACAAGAAAAAATAAATGAATACCTTTGGTATGGAGACAGGAATTTGAGGCTCAAATGGGAGATGGAGGTAGAAATGTTTATTTTTTTATTTTTATTTTATTTATTATTATTATTTTTTTTTATAGGGTCTCACTACACAGTTCAGACTTGTAACGATCCTCCTGTTTTTAGCTTCCCCAGCAGCTGGGATTACAGGTGTGTGCCACCACACCCGGACTCCATCTCTGAATCAGCATGCCCCAGGGGTGGGGCCAGTGTGGCCTGTGGGTACAGGGTATTGAACCCCAGTCCTTGCACTTGCCTAAGCAGGTGCTTAGTCTGCTGAGCTATCTCGCCAGCCCTTAGAAATGTGTACACATCAGTCAGCACTTAGAAAAAGACTATGCTAGAGGTACAAGTCACTAATGTAAAAAGATGTTGTATATTGTACGTGACTGAAATTGCCCAGAGAGAACTATACCTGAGATGCAAATACTGAATAAGAAAAGTTCAGAGCTCACTGGGGAAATAGCTCAGTCATATAAGTGCCTGCCTTGCAAACACAAGGATGCGGGTTCGATTTCCAGTACTGCATGTTGTGCTGGCCCCAGAACCAAAGGAGCGCCAAGCTTGCCATGAAGACCAGGCATGGTGGCACACACATACAATCTCAGCCCTGGGGAGACTGAGACAGGAGGATCACTATGAATCGAAGGAGCTGTGTAGCAAGACCCTATACCACATAAATAAATAAATTATATTTTTTAAAAAATTAGGGAGCCAGGGGCCGGGGAGATGGCTCAGTGGAATAACTGCTTCCCTGGCAAGCGCAGGGGCCTGAGTTCAATCCCTGGTTCCGCAAAAAAAAAAAAAAAAAAAAAAAAATTAGGGAGCCAGAGAGATGGCTCAGTGGAATAAGTGCTTCCCTGGCAAGCGCAAGGGCCTGAGTTCAATCCCTGGTTCTGCCAAATAAATAAATTAAAAAAACTTTTTTTAAAAGTTCACAGCTAAAGGACTGAGTTTAATTGTTAATGTTATCAAACCCAGTAATGAAGTGAAGTGAAGAAAAGAAAATCATGGTAGTTAGGAGTTACTGGAAACATCACTTGGAGCTGCTTCAGTAGCACTGCAGGCTAGAAGATTACAGCTGGTTAAATAGGGTTCTCCTTTGAGAATCTTTATTGAAAAAGCAAAAGCACATCTGGACATAGTGGTGCAGGCCTGTCATCCCAGCACTTGAGAGGTGGAGGCACAGGACTGCCACAAATTGGAGGCCAGCCTGAGCTACATAGTGAGCTCAAGGTCAGCCTGAACTACACATCCACACCCTGTCTCAAAAAAAAAAAAAAGTAAATACAAAATAAGGAAGATGTTCTGGGGTATCGAGTATGTAGCTCCATGGTAGAACATTGCCTCGTATGCATGAGGCCCTGGGTTCAATCCTCTGTAGTACCACCACCACCACCACCACCAACAACAACAACAACAACAAAGCTACAATCAAGAGTTAAGTCTTGGTTTTTTGGGTTTTTTTTTTTCCTGGAACCAGGGATTGAACTCAGGCCCTTGAGCTTGCCAGGGAAGTGCTGATTCTACTGAGCCATCTCCCCATCCCTCTTGGTTGTTTTATTTTATTTTGGTTTATATTTTTATGGTGCTGGGACCTAAACCCATGGCCTCATGCATTTTGGACATGCATTGTACACTAAGCCACATCCCAGTCTATGTGTTTGGTTGGTGAGATCTAAGCATGCCTATGTCCTGGAGGGAAGATGCCCCTAGAAAAGCAAAGGAAGCTAACACAGAAACACAGGGCCAGGTGCAAACTCACTTCCTAGAGAGATGGGAAGGGATGAGGTTCAGACACTTTTGGAAGGTCAGGCCTTGAATAGCTTATCTCAGAGTCAAGAAGAAGCCTGTGGATCACACATACCTCCATTTTCTTCTCTGAAGAACCTTTCTTTGCAAGATGTCTGATATGCCTCATTCTCTCTTTTAGAGCAGAATCCCTGGGAACACTGGGAATCATTAAATAAAACATCAAATACTTCAAAGCCAATCTGGTTGCCACACTGGCCAAGCTGCACTGTTACTATTGACATGCTGAGCCACACATTAGGCCTGTTCCTTCAGAATATGAACAACCTGTAACAGAAAAAATGCAGGTTTAGGCTAGGGATATAGCTCGGCGGTTCAAGCACCAGCCTGGCAAGCACAAGGACCTGAGTTCGATCCCCAATATCGCATGCCAAGCTGGCCATGGAACTCCAGGCACATTGTACTGGCCCCCAAACCAGGCATGGTGGTGCACACCTGCAATCCCAGTGCCAGGGAGGCTGAGACAGGAGGGTTACTAAGAGTCTGAACTGCGTAGTAAGACCCTGTATCAAATAAATAAATAAAAATTTAAAAAAGAAAAAATGTAGGCTTGGAGAATCATCAGACTAAGAATGAGAACAAAAAAGATGCCATATATATTATCATTATTATTTATATTAATTTTATACCAGGAAATAGTAACTGTAAAATACCAGTTATGCATGTGATATTACTGAGGAAACAGCGCTGCTGTTTATAGAGCCAGTCAGTCCAGGAAGTTCTTTTGCTTTCTAGAGTTCTGAGATCTTGGATTTGCTGTGTGAACCCATTTCATATACAGCTCAATAGATTTCTTTTCTCTTTTTGGCCTTTTGAGACGGGGTCTCGTTGTGCAGTTCGGGCTGGCCTTGAGCTCACTCTGTAGCCCAGGATGGTCTCGAACTCCCAACAAGCTTCCTGCTTCAGCCTCTTGAGTGCTGGGACTACAGGAGTGCGCCACCACGCCCAGTAGCTCAACTGTTTTTAAAACATGATTTGTATTTACTATTTTCCTAAGTATACATTTAAAACAAGACAAAGCAAAACAAAATAAATGCTGACTGAAGTAATTAGTACACAGTTCATCAGAATCAGCTCAACAAACGTTCAATTAACATTAATTTTCTCTCTTCAAAATAATGACACTGTCTTTCCACCAACCACCCTTCTGCCCTGATAACTATAATTAAGGCTGACAAAAAGATTTGGTGTTTAGTTCAGGTAGTACTGCCAACGTGCAGCCTGGAGAAAAACCAATGAAACAGTACGGCAGTTCGTACTTTTAACAGCAGAGACAACGTTTGATAATCAAAACCTCACAGGACGGCCACACAACACTCAATTCTGTTACTTACACAGTATTTTCAAACCAGCAAAGTAGGTAATATCCTCATTTTACAGTTCAGGAAACTGGGGCTCGCAAGGTTATTTGATTTCCCAAGGCTAACAGTGATCCCAGGACGGCTCCCTCGCGGGAACACACCTCTTTAAACGCACTCACCTACAACTCTCGGCCCCGCGGTTCTGGTCGGGTTCAAATTCAGAGAACCAGCCTTCTTACTACGCGCATGCTCACTTTCAACACTAAAGCCACCGAGGACAAACGCGGCGCTGTTCTTTTACTTGAAGAATTTTTTTTTTTTTTAATTCCAAAGGTCAATTACGCATGTTCAATTCCAATTTATCAACTTCGGATGCGGGACGCATGCTCCGTCCGTCAAACGCGCTCGTAGACACTGCGCATGCGCCAGGCTTCGAGCGCGGCTTCCGCAGTTTTATACGCATGTCGCTGCTAGTATCCGCCGCTGGAGCTAGTTCTACGCATGTCCGTTGCCCGCAGTTCGGCTTCACCGGACCTTGTACGCATGCGCCAATGCTGAACTTGAAGAGCCAGTCTAGGGCCCGGGCGCAGACGCACTGAGCTCGAGCAGCCGGTGATGGCAGCGGCAGCGACGGTGTCTGCGGCGGGTCCGGGCCCATGAGGCGACGACGGAGGCGGGACGGCTTTTACCCAGCGCCTGACTTCCGAGACAGGGAAGCTGAGGACATGGCAGGAGTGTTTGACATAGACCTGGACCAGCCAGAGGACGCAGGCTCTGAGGATGAGCTGGAGGAGGGGGTGAGGCCCGGGGTCCAGAGGGGGGCCCCTAAGGTGACAGGGTCGGGACGGCTGCGGGAGCCGGAAAGTCTGGTGTGACCTAAAGTTCGGAGACCAGGGGAGGCGCGATGAAGTCTTCTGGAGGAGCTGAGCTGCCTTGCTACCAAGAGCCGGGGAGCGGGCGGGGCGGACCTGGCCCCAGGTGTGAGGCCTCTGCGGGGCTCGCAGGTGCGGGTCGTGCCCTAATCCCCCAGAGCGGCGCGGCCCGAGCCACCTGTTTGCGGAGATGAGAACGGGCGCACGGGGGTTTCTGACGCTGTGTGACCTGAGTGTGGCGGGGCGCGGGTGATGGGAGCGTGTGTTGGGGGTGGGGAAGGCCAGGCTTGCTTGGTGTCCCGTAAGTGCAGGTGAAATGAGGAAGGGTTCCCTCGGATGGCAAGATTGCAAGTCTTAAACCTTCAGACCTCCCACAACCACCTCTCTTCTCGGCCTGTCGCTTCTGTCCCTAGGAAGCGCTCAGCTGTTAGAAGTGACAGCTGAAAACTTCTGTCGGGAGTAGCGCTGCCGCTGCTGTTACGGCCACCAGGAGTTTTATTTCGGGAGCAAGGGGGCTCTGCTGCATCTTCAGCGTTTGTTTGTTTGCCTTTAAAAAAAAAAAAAAATCCTTCCGTGTGACTTTTTTTAAAAAAAAGTTGTAACGACACACGGCATTTGTAACTTAATTTTTTCTCTAATTAAAGATGTCTTTTTTTCAGAATAATTTGTGTGATTTTGGGGTGGGGAAAAAACTAGTGTAGACAGCTGTGATTTTGGCTTGCTAAAAATAAACTGTTTGAACTGAAACTTGTGAATAGTAGTGTGAGGGCTTTCCTTGCTGTATTTTAGAGGGTTAAATTTAGAATTATTTCTCCTCACGGACATTTTGGTTTTTTTTACCTTTGCTATCTTACTACTTTGTCACCTTTTATGGAATTTTTTTCTAACACAAGTTTATTGAAAAATCACAAAGTGCACCTGAAGTTCAAAAATGGTATTGTCAGGGCCGGCCAAATAGCTCAGCGGATTAAAGTACCTGCAAAGCAGGCACAGGGTCCAGGGGTCCGATCCACTCCCACCCCGGGGGGTGCGCTGTGATGGCAGTTGAGACTGGGTGTGGTGGCACGTGCCTGTCATCCCAGCTCTTGAGAGGCTGTAAAACAGGCGGATCACTACAAGCTGATCTAGTAGTGAGACCCTGAACACCTTGTAGACCCTTCCCTAAAATACCAAAAAAAAAAAAAAATGATGATGTCAAATGCTCTGTGGATAAGTGATCGTCAGTGTTTATTTCATGGTAATTTAGATCCTAAATGTCATTATTTTTATTTATTTATTTATTTTGGTGGAACCAGGGATTGAACTCAGGCCCTTGCGCTTGCCAGGCAAGTGCTTATTCTACTGAGCCATCTCCCTGGTCCCTCATTATCTTAAGATTACATGAATACATGATGGATGTTAGATATTTGATGTTTGCTGTGACTGTAGGGCCTTTTATTCTTCTTTTTTTTAATCCCTAATTTTTCTTTTCTAGCAAGTAAATCATGTACTACTGCTGACAAAAAAATTGAGGTGCTGAGGCCGGGTAGATGACTCAGTAGAATAAGGTACTAACTGTAAAGAACTCTGAACATTATGCGAAACTAAATGAGCTAAAATAATACTGTTCTGTTTTATAATCAAATACGTTTCAATCAACATCACATAGTCCAGAAAGTGAGTGTTGAGATATGTGCTTTTTAAAGTGATATATTTTCTAATGGAATTCCTGTTCATCTCTTAATTGAACATAGTAAACACTAAATACAATTTGAAAGAAATGCAGGATTACTTTTCTTATGTGTTCCATGCTCTGGTCAGTTACATTGGTTCCATATGGTAGTGACTTTGAAATAGGATGTGAGAAAAAAAACTGGATAGAAGGATGCGTTATCTCTTCATTAGTTTAACTAATGGAATTCCCAGACTACTGGCTTATCCTCTTTTCAAAGTACAGTATCATATTAAAATTCCTGTTGAAACTGAGCGTGGTAGCGCACACTTGTCGTCCTAGCACTTTGGAGGCTAAGGCAGGCCCTGAACTGCATAGCGAGACTCAGTAAAATATACCTTATTTAACAATGTTTTTGGAGTTGAAATTGTTTCTTGGTTTGTTCTTTGAAGTATTCGGGATTGAATCCAGAAACACTGTACCACTGAGCTATACTCCAGCTGTTTTTACATAATTTTGTGACATGGCCTTGCCAAATTGCCCAGATTGGCCTAGAATTTGTGATCCTCCTGCTTCAACCATCCCAGTAGCTGAGATAACAGGCAAAAATCACCATTTCCAGTGAAAATGTTTCTTTTCTTGTTTTAGTTTTGAGACAGGGTCTCTTTAATATAGTTGAGGCTGGCCTGGAACTGTGTAACAGACTTGCCCCAAACTTCTACCTCAGTCTCCCAAGAACTGGGGTTACAGGTGTGTGCCACCATTCCCAGGTTGAGTGTCTTATTGTTAAGAAGTGCTTCAAGGTGGATAAAGGAAAAAATAGGAGTGAGGCTGGATTGGCAACCCAAGGAGAGTGACATCCAGATTATTCTGTAGTAGTAAAATTATTAAGAGTCAGAAATACAGGAGGTTTAGATTCTTTGGAAAATATTCTACTGTTCCTATTGTGAATTTATGACTTAATTTATTATGAAAACTTTCTTAATGTTGGTTCATATCAGAATAGTTTTACTCCTTCATTTTATAGTAAGGAAGCTGGGGCATAGGTGAGATGATTGCCCACAGTCATAGCTTTAGAGTTTTCCGACTCAGTTTAACAAATTTTATTGCACAGATTCTTTGGTTTAGTTTGGTTTTTTGAGACAAGGTCTCAGTATGCCCGTTCAGGCTGGTCTTGAATTTCCTGTGATCCTCTTGCTTTAGCCCCGGAGTGCTGGGATTACAGGCTTGTGCCACCACACCTGGCTTTATTGCACAGATTCTTGATTGCATTTGTTAGTCTTGCTGATTTTGTGCCTTGTCTCTTTGTAGTGTGTCAAAGTAAGTTCGTAACCCTTTGGCCATACCCACTGACTCTGTGACCTAGAGTAAATTTCTTTCTTTCTTTTTTTTTTTTTTTTTTGGCGGAACCAGGGATTGAACTCAGGCCCTTGTACTTGCCAGGCAAGCGCTTATTCTACTGAACCATCTCCCCGGCCTAGAGTAAATTTCTTAATCTCTGACACTTTTTTCTTCTCTATACAAAATGAAGTCCATAAACTATTCTAACAATATGCTGGCATATCTGCTAGTTTGTGGCAATGTAGTCTGTCAGTGTTACTCACTGCCAAGGATCCAGTCAAGTTTACATTCTGTGTCTAGAGACTTAAGTGCATTTAAATTAGAGGTGTTGTATTTTTAGAACTGTAGCATTATTTTTTTTAAAAATCACTTATCCTATTTAAAGATATATATTTCTTTTCAGGTATTTTATGAGTGAATCTGTATTATTAAGGGTATGTATTTATATAGTTTAGCTAATTCTTTTTTTGTTTTTGAGACTGGGTCTCATTATGTAGCTCAGGCTGACATTAGACTTGAGGCAATCTTCCTGTCTCAGCCTCCCAAGAGCTGGGATCACAGGGATGTGCCACCATGCTTGGCTACATAGTTAATTCTTGAGAAGATAAATGAAAAAAAAAAAGAGGATAAATGAGACTAAATTGATACATTTAGAAATAAAGTTGAATCTCAGGCTACCTCCTTTTATTTTTTACATTGCCAATAGATTTATTTTTTATTTTATTTTTTTTTAGATTTATTTTTTAAAAGAATGGATTAAAAGAAAAACAGAGGCACAGAAGTATAGAACAGAAAATAAATACAAATGTAGGCTGTTTTGCTAAATGTTTTATAGCCACAACAGACTAGTACAGAAAATGCCCTGTACACAATACAGAAAAGATTGAGTTGTTCCCTTAGGAAGGCTGAAGATTTTCAGTCTCTGTATTTGGATTTTAGGCTGCAGTCCTTGGTTTTGGATGGATCACTGGATGTGTGGCACAGTTCATGCTTTTAACCAGATTTGACCAGAAGAATGGCCACCTGGCCCAGGTAGAAGTACATGAAGTGTTTGGTTTCACGTGTCACATAACTACTGAAGTTCCTTCCCACAGTGCAGTGCCAGGTTGGGTTGTACTTCTTGTCAAACTCCTTGATGTGGGCCGCAATGTCCTTTTCTATGTTATATTTCTCCAGCACCTGAGTAGCGCGCTCCACACCCAGACTCTGGTCAGCTCAGCCCACCCTGGGGGTGGGGCTGGTGCAGCATGTGGTGTGGGGATTAAACCTCAGTCCCTGCGCTTGCCTAAGCTTGCCACTGCTGAGCTATCTTGCCGGCCCCCAGGTATTTATTTATTTATTTATTTATCTATCTATATTTTAGGGAAGGGCCTACAAGGTGTTCAGGGTCTCACTACTAGATTGGACTTTTAGTGATTCTTCTGTATACAGCCTCCCAAGTGCCATGCCCAGTTTCAGTCACAGTGTAAGCGTGCCCTGGGGGCAGGGCCGGCACAGCAGACCAGGGGATTGAACCCCTGCCCCTGCACCTGCTTGCAGGTGCTTTAATCCACTGAGCTATTTGGGCGACCCTTACTACATAGTTCAGACTGATCTTGAACTCACTTCATAGTCTACACTGACTTCAAACAGCAACCATGTCACTTCTACCTCCTCAATGCTGGGCTTAAAAGGAGCCACCATGTCAGCTGAATGTCAATTTTTTTTTTTTTTTTTTCCCCAGAACTGGGGATTGAACTCAGGCCTTTGCTCTTGCCAAGGAAGCACTTATTCCACTGAGCCATCTCCCCAGCCCCCTCAGATTTTTTTTTTTAGCAAAAAGTTCAATATTATTGAAGAGCAAAGTACTGTGTAGATAGTGTGTTTTCTTTTTCTTTTTTCTTTTTTTAAAGGACTATTCCATTAAATATTTATTTATTTATTTATTTATTGT